AATTAATTTTTAAAAGCTGAGGTTATTAGGTGTAGAATGGAAGAAGATGACCAAATTCGTGGAACAGTGCATTTTTGCAAAAATTAGAGAGTGCTGCAAATTCTGATACTTCTCAAGTCAGAGAAAGGGATGCCTTTTCCCTTACCTATCTTTGAGGAATTATAGTAATGCTCTGTTAATTTGTGTTTATAAAAAGTGAATATTTTGTAAGGCTTTAGATTTTGAGAATAGTGAGTTTATCTATGGTGACTTGTCATTATGAAGTGTGGTGAGACATGGTTATTTCTATATAAAAAGATATACCCAGGATCTTTTTAAAAATCTCTTTGTTTTGTATAGAATAGCCTTTCATTTCCCATTTTTCTTTGGTATAATAAATACAGAGTTCAATGCATGTGCTTCAGAATCAACATTAAATGCATAGTTTTCTTGTAAAATCGTGTAACTTGTTGGCAGAATTTTACTACATAGTTTTCTTAAACAGTCTGAGCACATGAATTTTAACTTACACAAAGTTTTGAAAGGCTCATATATGTCTACTTTCAAAAAGATTAAGAACAGTGAGAAGTGTAAGGGAGGAAAGGAGAGGGAAGAACAACTAAAAGGACCCATTATTTGCTTCAATTTTCTTTACTCCAAAGAATTGTTCCAGGAAGTTAAAAATTTACATATTGAAGACATTTGACAAAGAAAATACTAATTAGGAACCATCAGCTAGGTAAATTCAAACACATAATAGAGTTTATATTTACTAAAATTGATAAAGAGAGTATGTAGTCTCCAAGTGCCTGTTTAATGCTGAAGAGCCCCACATCTTGCCCAGTGTCTGTCACAGATGAGTAATGAGTAGATGAGCTTGTCTAACCTCTGTGAACTCAAAGTTCTTAACTTAATGGTTTGTTTGTGAAATAGAGATGAGATGCTTTTTCAGTAACAGCCATTTTAACATTATTTTAGTAGATATTAAGTAAAACTGTTGGGCCTGAATATCTTTGAGTTATTCTTTTTTTGTGTTGAGTTTTTAAAGAGGAAAGTTAAATCCCTCGTGGACAAGAACAGGATTGCTACTATTAGCCAAAATTATGAAAGAGTATTGGGCTTTGCTTTTCTTTATACTTTTTGGTGTGGATATAAATTGACCCTCCATACCCACAGGTTCTGCATCTACAGAATCAACCAATTGTGAATCCTCCCCCCACCGCAAATTACATCTATACTAAATGTGTACAGGCATTTTCTATTCCTTAAACAATACAGTATAGCAACTATTTACGTAACATTTACATTTTACTAGTTACTTTAAATAACCTAGAGGTGATTCTAAGTATATAGGAGGATGTAAGCAGGTGTATGCAAATAATACACTGTTTTAATATAAGGGCCTTGAGCATCCAAGGATGTTGATATCCAAGTTGGGGCCTAGAACCAGTCTCCCACAGATACTGAGCACTGACTGTATGTAGGTAATAGGGGAGTATTTTATGAAGTAAGATGCTGCTTTCTTTACCATTTCTAATATACTTTTTATATTTTAGAAAAGACAGTTCCTTTTTCCTTTTTATATTAGAGAAGAAAATTGGTAATGATAATTCAGCAAATATTTCTTGAGAACTTGAGCACTAGAGGTAAGTACTGTGAAGAATAGAGATAACAAAATTCAGGCCTTATTTTTCAAAGCTACCAGGATAATCGCCTTTAAGATATTGATATGGAGCAGCAAAGAAAAAAGAATATTTTATTACTTGTTGAATTATATAGTATAGATTGGTAGTGCATTCAAGGCATTACAGGAGGGGTTGCAACTTGACTTGAGGCTTGGATACTCTGTAGGATTTAAACTAGAGAGAGGAGACAAATGAACCACATGAGCAAAGACAACAGCCAGAGTGGCAGTGGGCAATGGAAAAGAAAGAATCATGAGAATGATTTTAGAGGAATAAGTGACAAGACTTAGGGACCACCTACTTTTAAGCAAGGTGCAAAAAACAAGAGAGAGAAATGTGCAAAAATGATTCCAAGATCTAGGTTAAAGGAAGAGTAATGTGCCATTGATAGAGATAAAGAATTTGAAACTGGTTTCCAAGAAAGGGTAACATTTGATTTTAGATGTTTCAGTTGAAATTGTAATATTTTCTAGCAAGATATCCAAATGAAAGTTTTCATTATACATTTGGAGATGAGGGACTAGAGTCTCTTTGAAAATATGTATCACTAGAGATAATAGAACGGATGGTCGTCAGTGTAGAAGGAATTGTTGAAAATATTAAATTCAGATAAATTGTTAGAGTTCCCTTAGAAAAAGAAGCAGATGAATTAAAGTTAAGTTTTGGGAAAGGGTGTGTGTTGGGGCAGAATGAAAAGAGTGAGAGTGTTAGGAAGAAGGGTGTAATCAACACTGTCATGGCTGCAAAGTTAAGAGAAGAATTTTCTTCTTAGAAGAAGATATTGAATTTGGCAATAAATAAGACAAGGTGAACTTGTCTTTCTGAATGAATTTACTGAATGAAAAATTATTTTCTGTAAAATGACCACGTCAGAAATAAAATTTCAGAAGATTAAGAAAGGAAGGGGTAATAGGGAACTGGATAGCAGAAAAGTTCATTTGTTAGGTGGACAAAGTGCAATGAGAGTAAAGCTAAGAGTTTTTTTAAAAAATAAAAATACTCTAGCTGGGCATGGTGGCGCACACCTGTAATCCCAGTACTAGGGAGGCTGAGGCAGGAGGATTTCTGTGAGTTAGAGGCCAGCCTGGGCTACATAGTAAGTTCAAGGTCAGACTGAACTACATAGTGAGACCCTGTCTCAAAAAACAATATTCTAAACATTTTGATAGTTATATCTGTATCTATCATATATTTGATATCTAGTAAGGAATGGTAGCTGGCAAAAATTAAAATGGTAGCAATCTCTAATATAGGTAGGATCATGTTATTGACACTGAATCTCAAAAGCATTTAGATAAAATGTAGAAAAAATATATATATATGTATAAATATATACTTTAAAATATATGTATATACATTCTAAAAATGAAACATACATCTATTTTTTGTTGCACAGTAAGAATGTACTCTTTGTGGAATAATGAATGACATCTTTTTGACTAGTGATAAAGTCACTAATGACTTAAGTGAAATATGATTCTTGCTCTATTAAATATTTGTTGTTATTGATGGCTGAGTTAGCACATAATTGTAAATATGTTTATAACACTAGAGTGTCAATTTCTCAAGCAGTAGATGAATTGTCATAAAAAAGTCATGCATAGGGATGACCCAGCTTGTTTTAAGTTTAGCTGCACTATCTCTTTGTGCAGATTTAGTATATGTGCTGCCAAAGTGAGCACTCTGTGTGCAGATTTAAAGAGAATGTGTGTTTGTATACTGTATTTTCATTGCATGTTTTAGTGACACCTAATCAGAAGTAATGAGTGACTTTTTAATGTAGCTAAGTTCTATTTACAATTGCCAGTTTGTTTTCTCTACTATTTTAAAATAATAGAATTTGGTTTAAAATATATTTTCAACATGTCAGGTGTAGTATATTTATAAACAGATATATATCTTGCCACTAGTTGCTAAATATAGTCTTTGTGCTTAGGACTGGGTTGTGTCCTTGAAATCAGCTATGAGCATAAATCATGCAAAGAGAATATGAAATTTCTGCATAGAGTTTTAATAAGACATTGAACTCCTGACATTTTCTTAAGAGACCCTATGACTAAAATGCCATAAATCATCTGTTATTATGCTTCAAATTTTTATTAAACACCCACTAGATAGAGTCCAGTATGCTACTGGACATAATGGAAAATAGCAAAATAAATAACCCACAGTTTCTGTTCCCAAGGAGCTTAAATAGGACAGAGAAGATGTAATAGTTGGGTCATCATTTGAATTTTGGTTCTCCCCACTTACTAGATAAATACATGACTTGGGGCAATTCATTAATTAATTTAAATTTTTTTCTGAATGTTAGCTTCTTTGTTCAAAAAATGGGAGTGACAGTACCTTTCTTGAAGGCTTTTAAAGTTTTGAACTCATGTCGTTATTTAGCACAGTATCTAGCCTGATAAGTACACAGCTATTGGTAAGTGTTATTGTCTTTCTCACATGGAATTCCATAATGATTACCAGTGTCTTGCCCTTTTTGCTTACAACTTAGTATCCAGTAACATAAAATTATAGTCACTGCAATATGGTATCATTTAAGATTCAAGAAGTGACCTATGGTATCCCTACTGAAATTAACAAGTAGGTGAGCAAAGGCTTATTGAAACTTTTTTGATTTCTTATTACAGATTTTAGTGTGCATCCTGGAAGAGAAAGCCTTAGAGGCTAGGATCTGTTTTCTTAAAATTGATTGAGAACATGAAAGCCATTCATAAAGATCAACCCTTGAATATATGAAGAATAACTGGTCACAGATTATCAAACTCTATATTTCCGAAGGCTGCATTAATGGAGGAAGAGGATACTTTCTGTTGGGAACATTTTTCATGCATACACCAAAGTAGAAAGAACAGTATAATGCTTTCCCACATACTGCCTGCCCATCACTGAACTGCAGTAGTTAATAGTTTTAATGAAGAAATATTTTGGTAAAAAAGTATGACATTTCCAGCTCTATTATAGGTATTTCTCCAATTTATTAATTTTGAATCTCATATCATAGGTGTGGTTGAAATCCTACTTTAACATTTGCTCTTTTTGGACAACGGTTGCTATTAATTTGAATTAATAGTTAAAGATATATTTTCTGTAAATGTCACTGAAGATATTTTCATGACACACTTTTTTCAATTTAATGTTTTTAGGACTTCTTTATCTATTTTAATTAAGTGTATTTTAACTGGTGTAAAAAAACTTAAACATTGTTCATGTTTAGGACACATTTGAAATCAAAAGACCAAAAGAAAAATGCATGGGTTTGTAACTTTTTTAGGAAAGCGAAAGGGTTAAATATGCTGGATAGAATATATTTTGTTCTTTGTTTTTAAGGTTTGGCTTGAGCAACAAGTTTGATACTGAATTTCCCTCAGTTCTAACAGGGAAGGTAAGTAGTAGTTTGCTTTGAACTTTCTCATTCTAATGCATTTAGCATTATGATAAGTGCTTTCTTTGGCAATGAAGTCAAATCGCAGGAGGCCTCTGTTCTTGAAAGGTGTGTTGAGAGTGATTGAAAGCTGTCTCTGACTACCAGCTTCTGACCAGTTATTTTATCCATTGTTCATTAATGCTGACCAATATTTCTTTAGATATTTAGCTTTTCCAGTTTTTCCTCTTTTCCCATTACAAGTAGCTATGATTGTTTCCATTTCCAATAATTTCCAATGTTTGTTAACAGAGTTATATTCTTTAACCATATCACTCTATTATTTTCAATGTACTCTATGGTGTCAAAGAATATGTACAATTTTTAAAAGAAACTATATTTGAAAAATCCTGTTAAAACCGTAATGCTAACTTTTAAGCCCAAGGGAACATTTTCTGCCTAAAGAAGTTATTTACACCCATTTATTACTTGAAGAAATATAAAAGAAAGAAGCCATTAGATTGCAAAATATGCATTAATTTCCAAATGATGGATAACTGAAGGTTTGGGTAATTGAAATGGTAATTTGAGGTTAAAAGCTGTTAATTTTTACATTTGGAATACTATAATTTAATGTTTCTATTTAATAATTTTTAGTTCTATCATGATGATATTTGTCAGTATAGATTTTAGTTTTATTTCAAAATTATTTCATTCTCTAAAGTGCTATTTTTAGTGTTAAAATTTTTCTCATATCATTAGTAAGGAAAGCAAGGTACACAGTCTGGTAAGTATATTTCAATATATGAAATGGAAGAAATCAGCACATTAATAATTATACTTTGTGTATACAAGAAATTCTAGAAAGAAACGTATTTTACAAAAAGAAAGTCTAGAAAGATATACATGAAATGGAAGAAATAAGCACATTATTAATTATATTTTGCATAAAGAGATTCTAGAAAGATACATGTGAAACTAATAAAAGTTTTTGCCATTGACAGAAAAAGGGGACCAAGATGGATGGAGGGAAGGGTGGGGATGAGGCTACTTTCTGAACCTTTTGAACCTTCATTTACATCTAATTTGTTCTCTCACCTAAACTGGTTGAGAATGAGATATGTTGCTTCTACTAATATTAGCTCCTTTTGTCATGATGCATTTTCCAGGTGTTTGCTCTTTTCATTTTTAGCCTAATTGTAATTTTCCCTCCAGCCACTTTGGGGATTGGAGGAAGAGAGAAAGATAACAGACTTATTTCTTTTTTCAAGAGATATGTCTGAGATCATAAGAAAATGTATTTAACCCTGAAAAGCAATTTATACTTTATTTGCCTCATTTTCCCCTGAAAAACTGGAGCTAGCTTGACACAGAATATAATAAACAAGCTTTGTAGTCAGATCTGGGTTGCAATTCACATTCTTTTATGGCTACTGGCTATTGGTCTTGGGCAAGACACTTCTAAGACTCAGTTCTTATGTGAAAAATGGCAATGATACTGATGGTTACTTCACTTCTTAAAGATTAAATATTAGTGCATAAATGAAGTTTCTAGTGTATTCTCAGATACTTAATGATTTCCTAATGTCAGTTTGGGCTTCTCTTAACTATTCTCATTGTATCCTTTTACCCTGATTATTTCTTTCAATTTACTCCCTGGCTTTCAATTTTTTTTTGGTACTGGGGATCGAACTCAGTTCCTTGCGCTTGCGGGGCAGGCGTTGGAACCACTGAGCTAAATCCCCAGACCTGACTTTCAGTTTTTAATTGCTCTTGCCCCCTTTTCTTTATCTGAGTTATAATTTATTCTCTAGTTCTACTACTAATTTATCCTGACTGTTGACCCTTTCTACCTCTTCTAGCTATAACATCAAATCCTTCTGTACAATAATAAGCATAATTCCTGTGTCAGTTAACTTTTGAAAATATGTGGTCACTTCGCTTTTTAGGACCCCAAAATTTTGTGGTGTGGGTCTTTGGCCTCAGTCTCTAATACATTCTGTTTTCCTACCCTGGTCATTTAGGATAATTCACCAATTGAAGTAACAGCTTAGACTTAGATGTGTTGTTATAGAAATTAATCAAAAATGTGATCTACAAATTAAACAGCCATGAATATATCTCTTGAATATAACATTAGTAAAATGATGGTAAATTCAATACTAAAATTAAGAGAATGTGAAGTAAAACATCTCCAACAAAAAGGATATTCTTTTTGTTTCCCTTGCTATTGCAAGTTTTGTCTGGACAGTTACATCTAGCATTATTATTGGCTTCCTTTTTATAAGTTTGAATTACAGGTCTAAGAAATTCTAGAAAATGAATAACCTAAAAAATGACAGTGAATGCAGTTGCCTCGTGTAAGAATTACCTGATTTAGGAATTGGCCAGTTTCATTTGTTCAAGGAATCTTTGTAACATCTTTTCACACCTCCTCATCTCTTCTCAGGCTTCCTGAAACTAAAAGTTTCACTTACTCAAAAGATACTACAATTGGTTAAATTAGAGGAGGAAGAATGGTAAGCTGCTTTTGGCGTGCCTTAATGTAACCTAAATGATATGGATAGCTGTTCTTACACACATCCATTCTTTTCAGGTAACCATGTTTTGTGGCACACATCATAAAGATGTGTGGGTATTTATTCAAGTGTGTATCATCTTTAGTGTGCCAAGTTTCCCTTGTATTGGATAAAGCATATATGATACTGTGGTAGTTTTCTTATTGTGGAAAACATTAGACAGAATGCTAAAGGTCAGTTGTTGTTTGGTTGATTGATAGACAGATTGATTTGGTGCTGGGGATTGAACCCAGGGCATGTTGCATGGTACCACTGAGCTACACCCCCAACCCTTAAAGGTCTGATTTTTAAAAATCATATGGCTGTAACGGGCCCCTCTGCATACTAGAGGTAAGAGCCCCCTGGCTTGCTCCATGTTAAGCTGACTTGGTGTCTCTTTGTCATTCATTAACAACCCCTCCTCAGTGAGAACAAAGTAGCGGGTCTCTGTCCTGGAACAAGGCCTGCCAGCCAGGTGAGGATTAGATACAGGTCAACATACCACCACTCCCACCACAGAGGAGGAGGCTTCCAGGTCAACATGCCACTGCTCCCAGCGCAGAGGAGGTTAGTCGCCCCAGTCGAAATGAGAAGACATGTAAACAAGCCTCAAAACCAGACTTCCAAATCACCTACAGCAACCCCAAAGGGAAATGAGATGGAATACTCAGATACTCAACCACCTGGACTCCCTGAAATGGCAACAGAAGAGGATCTGGAAAAAATGAAATCAGAAATAATTTCTCAGATAACAGCAGAAATTGTGCCCATAGTGCAAGACATGATTAATAAATCTAGAGAAGACACAGATAAAAAAATAGAGGAGCTGATGAATATGATGGAATCCCAACATGGGAAAAAGATGGAATCCATAAAACAGATGCAAATAGATTTCCAGGAGATGGAAAACTCCATTGAAAGTCTATCCAGCAGAATGAGCCAATGTGAGGACAGAATTTCAGATATAGAAGATATGGCTGCTATTAGAGACCAGGGAAAGAAAAATTGCTTCAAAATTGTAAGGGAACATGAGAAATCAATCCAGCAGCTATTAGATGATGCAAAGAAGAATAACATGAGACTGATCGGAGTCAATGAAGAAACAGGAGAGAGTGCAGATGACATAAAAAAAACTGTTCACAGAATTAATGGCAGAAAACATCCCAAGCAGGGGAAAAGAACTTGACATACAGATAAGTGAGGCATATAGAACTCCAAGTAGCTGTGATCAAAAAAAATCTACACATAGGCATATAAT